TGTGCCTCGTCGCCGCTTGTGAGCCTCCGACGTGGCTGCATGATGTGCTGGACTCGTCTCGTAGAGCGGCGACGGTGGGGGATTTCGAACGAGTTCAGGACTCGGTTGACTTGGTCTATAAACACTGGGCGAATGCTGCCGAGCGTGAGGTCTCCGCTGCCACGGGTAAGGTCCTTCCTGTTTGGGGTTCTCGTGGTAAGCCTCCCCAAATGTGCTGGCGCCCAGTGCTGTCCAAGGACTCTGGCAAAGGCGATGGCACACTGTTTGCTGCTAGGTGGCTGACCAATCTCTTTAGTGAGTTCGAGTGCTACTGGACCGTGGGAGACCAGTCTGGCATCGGACGGGTGCTCGAGCGCCTGGAGCAGCCACCAGCTCAGTGCGCCGCGGATCTAGGCCAGATGGAGAATTTTAGGTCTTCGCTGGAGGAGTTCGTCCGCGAGCTCCCGATGTACGAGCAAGCAGACGGCCCAATGCTTGATTTTTTCCATCACTTGCATGAGATGTGCCGTGACATGCTTGTGAATATTGAGGCTGCCTCTAGGAAGCTTGCCAGGAAAGAGTTCAAGGAGTGGTTACTGTTTAAGGTGAATCGGGGAGCCCGAAGGGTCCACACCGTTTCCAAAGGAGCGACGCCATGGGTCCCCACCACCACCCTGTCCTTGGACGGAGTGGTGGTGGCGGACCCCTTGTCGTTGCTCCAAGCTGAGTCCAAACGTTTTTCCGACCTCTGGGGGGATGCTGGTGGGGGTCCCTGGTTCCATGTCGGTGAGCTTGCCCCTGAACTTCCTGAGGTTCCTGTGGAGGCGATACGTGAGTTTTCCAGGCGTTTCAAAATCAACACTTCTGTCAGCGTCGACGGATTTCACATGCGGCATTTCTCTTTCTTGAGTGATGAGCTGCTCAGAATTCTGTGTGGTCTGTTTGCCGTGATGGAGCTCACGGCGCTGATACCGAGACAGGTGGCCATCACTCTCCTTACGTTGATCCCGAAACCAGCTTCTGGTTTTCGCCCGATTGGGAATTTTTGTGCGATTTACCGTGCTTACGGTAAGGTGCGGAGGCCCCTGGCCCAGGAGTGGGAGTTCAAAAACGCTCGGAGTTTTTTCGCGGCTGGGCCCTTCGAGGGGGCCCAGGACGTGGTGTGGAGACAGGCGGTTCGTGCGGAGACCTCGACTTTGAGCAAGGATGAAGCCGCAACGGTCCTGCTCGATCTTTACAAATATTATGAGACTATTGATCTCAAGTTGCTCCTGTGGCGTTGCAAGCAGGTGAATTTCCCCCTCGCGATCGCTCGGCTCGCGATTGCGATGTATCTTCAGGCTCGGTTTTTTGTGTTGAACGGGTTTGTGGATGGGCCCTTCTGGGCCTTGGGGGGAATCATCGCGGGGTGTACGTTTGCCACCACGTTGATCAGAGTGTACTCGATTGCTTCCCTCGACATGCTGTGCATTCCGCCACAGGTGCATTTTAAGTTGTATATCGACGACTCTGGCCTCAGTGCTACGGGGTCGCGGCGATACATTGTGGAGCATCTGCCACCGGTGGTCAGAGCCTTGGTTTCTATTCTGGAGGAGGGGATCGGAGCTAAGGTGAGTCAAGATGTGGGAAAGAGATCCTTGATCGCTTCTTCTAAGGCGCTTGGGCGTGATCTCGCTCAGGCACTAGGTGGCCTGGCTGGCCCCTTAGTCAGTTCAGCGGCGAACCTAGGAGTGGATGATTGTGTGGGACGCCCTAGACGTGTTGCTGGTAGGAGCTCGAAGCAAAAGAAGCGTGAACAAAAAGCTCGTGGTTTTGTTTCCCGTTTGGCCCGCTTGAGGCCTCTGGTTGGGGCCCGTGTGACCAAAAACGTTTTTGCCTCGGGAGCTTTGGCCTCGGAGCTTTTCGGATCCGAAATATATGGTGTGAGCGACTACGAGCTGTTGAGATTGCGGCGCCAGGCGGCGTCAGTCTTGCAACCATCAGCGTCTGGAAGATCGCTGACGGCTCTTCTTCTTTCGCATGGCGAGCCGTGTTGGTATGCGTCGGTCGCTCCGATGGTCAGATGGTCGAAGGAAATATGGATTGCTCACCATCGGACCTACCCCCACTGTCTCTCGCTCCCCGAACTCAGGGAGGCCTGGGACGTTGGTTTCTCGGGAGACTCCCCTTTGTGGCGGTCGGTCTCGGGGCCGATCACGGCGTTGAGAAAATCATGTGAGCGGATTTCCTGGTCCATGCCTTCCTTCGCTGTTTTTAGAACTGACAAGGGTGAGGAGGTTAAATTGACGGAGTTCTCGCCTACTTTGATTAAGAATTTGCTTCGCAAAGCTGTTGTGAGAGGTCTCGAGTGGGACATGGGGGCTCGTCTGAACATGTCTGGGCGTGTTTGCACTGATGGGGTCCTTAGTTATCTCCAGAGCACGAAGTATTCTGCCTTTGAAAAAGGCTGTCTGAGGGCGCTTTTTTGCAACGCGGTGTACACTCGTACGCGTGCGGCAGACCTAGGCTACCAGCTGCAGAACGTGCTGTGCCCGCTGTGTGGCGAGGCGCCTGACACGCTCCGCCATAGATTGTGGGAATGCCAGTGTCCTGATGTAGTCGAACTAAGGAACTCGATTGTGCCCATAAAGATCCAGAAGTGGGCGAGCCAGGTGGACGACAACTTGGCTGTCTTTGGGGTGTTTCCTCACCCGGGTGATGTTTTTCCTGCTCCGTTGGATAAAGGTGGTATTCAGGTGGAGTGGGCCCAAGGAGAGGTTGGGGACCTTCATAGTGTGTTCGCTGGAGACATGTTCGTGGATGGATCGTGTTCGCGTTACATTGTGAAAGAATTGAACCGAGCTGGCTGGGCCTTCACTTTGGTTGACAGGGAGACTGGGCTTGAATTAGTGAGAGTCAGAGGACCAGTTTGGGGGCCATGCCCCCAGACTCCACAAGCAGCCGAGTTTTTTGCCATGTCTATCGCCATTCAGTGGAGCACAGGCCAGTGTGACATTTTTTCGGACTGTTTAAATGTTGTGAATTTTTTCGGGATGCCCTGGATGGAGCAGATATCAGCCAGGTATATGTTTGCTGGCGTGGCTCAGTTTGCTCGTCCGCACATGCACAAAGTCACGGTATCCAAAGTGAAAGCCCATCTTGCTGTCGATGAAGCGGTCGACGAAAGGGATCGCTATTTAAGACAAGGCAATGCGTGGGCTGATACCTCGGCCAAGGTTGCGGCATCCTTGCATCCTGCCCCGTCGGACGAGTTGCGTGAGGGCCTGGATCTTTCCGTGGCCGTGGCCCGAGCTGTAGGACGTTTGGGTGCTAGATTAATGTCCTTGTGGCCTAGATTAGACTTGGGCAAAGATTTAGAGCGAATCAAGCCACCTGCTAAAGAGCAGGCTCCTGCGAAACCTTCACATGAATGGCATTGGGTAGGCTCGTATTGGCAATGTGCTACGTGCTTGCGTGGTCGTCGTGGCACGTTTGGCGTCGAACCTCCTGGTGGGTCATGCTCGCTCGCTTTGCATGTGCACCCGTCAGTACTTCGTGATCTAGGGCATAGATGTGTGCTCATAGACTGTACGGATGGTAGTTTCGTTTGCATTTGCCACAAATGTGGTTATTACACGTCGGGGGGCCGGCTTGATCGCCTAGGTAAGAAGTGTGAGCCTTCGAAACGGGCCTCGCATTGTAATCCTTGGAGTCGTCTCCAAAAGGGCCTCCACCCGTCATACAATAAACCAGGAGTGCGGGTGGATGTCAATACGTTTTGTCAGGTTTAATTGTGCCTTTGCTCAGGGTGTGTGATGCGGTTCACTTTCACGCCACTGCTGTTGCACGGCCCTTGCTCGCTGCTGCGCGGCCACGGGGTGAAGGCTCCTTGTGGTGACGGCGGCACAGCGGGCAGTCTTAGGCACTTCGTTTGCGAGGACGCTTGCGGCGGCGTCCTCGTTTATCCTCCTCCCCATGTTGCGCTGGATGCTTGTTGAAAAATTTGGTCAGGAACTTTCGCCAGCACGGCTGGCAAGGCTAGTCGGCCACGGGCTGACTGTAACACGTTAAATCTTCCCTGCCAATTAGTTTGCTGCAAGCAGCTGCCGCGGCTCGCTTGTTGCCTGTACCTTGTTTCCTCAGGAGCAGATCCGCTGCACTTAAGGGCCCCTTAAGTGCAGCGGGCTGTCTTGGCCTCCATCGCGTCGATGCTCGAGCTGGCTCGAAGGGGCCTGCATCCCAAGGCGGGCGAGCCCCTCGAGCCGCTTGTTTTCTCGGAGCTCGGGGTGCCTGCGATGCTCAGCAGGCGCCCGAGCCCGAGGCACCTGAATAGTGGGCGGGTGCGGGCGGGGGGCGCGGTGCGAGTGGGGACTGCCCGGCGTTGCGCCGTTAGTGACCCTCGCACCGTTGCTCCCCTGCCCCGCGCACGGCGCGGAGAGCGCCCCTTGTTGGATGAGGGCCCTCTCTCGTTCTTTTTTCGAGGCGTGTTCGTGTTTCACCTGCACGCTCCCGTGCACTGTCCGCACTACCCTGTACAGTGGGTCCGTGTCTTTCCTGGAGTGCGGGGTGGATCGATCGGTCCTCCTGTCTGCTGCTCCTGGATCCGTTTGCTGCTGCCTGTAGAGTGTGGCGCCGTCGCCTACTCTGCTCTGTAGTTGCTTTCTGGGTCTCTGCATCACGACCCCTTCGGTGGGCTCCCGTGTTGCACCCTGCTCGGGTGGCGGCTGCAGGTTGTATAGCTCTTCCTCGCCGCCCAGTCTGCTGTCCTTGTTTAGTGGACAGCCCGAGCCGTGCTGCTGCGCAGTGATGTGCCTTCACCGCTGCGCTCCTGTCTCTTTTTCTCGCTGGCACTCGCCACGCCAGCGGAGTCATGTGGCTGATCATGGGTCGACCCCAAAAAAAAATCCTCCTCCTCCTCCTCCTCCTCCTCCTCCTCCTCCCTCCCCCTCCCTCCCCCTCCCTCCCCTTTTCCCCCTTTGCCTCCCCCCCCCAGGGAGGAGCAGACCAGCTGCAGCAGAGCTCCCCGCCCGGAGGGAGCGCAG